CACGGATAAAGACTACGAAACCCTCTCTCTCATCTACTACATCTTTATTTTTTCTTCATTGTTTTTCCTTCACCAATAGAAGAATATATATAGGGAAACCAAAACCCTATTTCTAGCTTAACTTTCTAATTAGAATAGGATTCAAACTCCTAATCATGATAAAACTCAAACTCCTAATCATGATAGAACTCAAACTCCTAATCATGATAGAACTCTAACCCTATCTAATTCTCATGAAGTTACATAAAGAATCAAAGACAAAATCCCAACACTTTCTACTATCCATTTTTGAGGATTAAAGAAAAGTTCTAATCCTATTCGTGTCCAAATATCAGGCGAACCAAACATGATCATTGATTGAAATATCAAAATATTAAAATCCCAGTCATTTTTTAGTTTTTTTAAAATTATAAATATTTATTTAGATTTGTAAAGAATAGGCTAATGGTTAAATTTATCTAATTTTGAATTTCAAAATTAAGATTTTAATTTTTCTAAGAAAAAGTCTAGCACTCAAACTATTTACTTTAACACGTTAAAAAAAAACTCTATTCATTTCTTTTCATAACATAGCTAAAAAGAGGCCCTAATTGCCTCTTACTTTATAATATGTTAATAAATGATCTGCAAGTCATAATCTTCAAAAAAATATAATCTATCATCTCTCTTATTACACTAGGATAGATTGACATATTAGAAAGGCTTATAAACCAACTATATAAACCAAAGGAATTAAAGCAATTTGTGCGAGCACGGGAATAATACATGTTTGTATATAATGAGAAATTGGTAGTATACCCGAAGGCACTAGAGCCCAAAACAATGACACATGTCATGTGTTATTTTGATATTAAATTAGAATTGTTATATTATTGGGTTTACTTTCTATCCATAATTAGAATCCTCATCAAATTAAATCTATATTGAATTAAGAAGTTCTGATTATAGTTAAAAATCTAGTAATACTAATTAGATCAGACTTATACATAATTATAAAATTAATAATCACACTTTCAATTCATTTCTCTTATAAAGGAGGGATTGGTTTACAATTAGCTTTATATTTAAAAAAATTGCCTCATGGCTTTCCTTAATTTTTAAAAGATAAATCTCACTGAACATCTGATAAGTTGAATTGTCTAAAAGTAGGCTTGTAATTTTTTTTTTCAAATCCCTAATAAGTTATGAAATTTGAGAAAACTATCTATATTTTAAGTTTTTACATTTAATCTCATAAAGGCATTACCTTATAATTTTACACTAACAAACATTATCCTTCAGGACCAATATATACCCTAAAATCATTCCTATTTGCAAACATTTAAAATTAAAAACAACTCCTAAAAAATATTATCTTTGTAAATAGTTCTCTTGAAAATATAAAACTACAAATAACCCACTGAAAAAATCTAAAGATTACAAATAAGCCACTTCCATTCTAAAAAATAAAAAGAACCCCTAAAAAATTTAAAAAGTACAACCTAGCCGCTTAAAATTCTAAACATTATAGGTAATCCTGTGAAAACTCAGAAAACTACAAACAAATTCATTAAAAATACAATAATTATAAAAAAACTCTTTGAAAAATCTAAAATTGTAAAAAGACCTCCAACAAGTTTAAAGATTGTAAGATGACCCTAAGAATTTTAAAAATACAAAGAACTACCTAAAAACTTTAATATTACAAATAGCTCCCTAAAAAATAAAAAATTATTTAGAATCCAAAATTTAGAAGCAACCTCCTCAAAATTTGAAAATTACATATAAAAATCTAAAAGTAATAAACAACTACTATTAGGGACTTCTATGAAAAGTTATTGGGGGTTAAGTGACAAAACTAAAAACTTATTGGGTGTTTTCTTCCAAAATTTATTAGAGTTATTTTGATCATTTGACAAGACATTCAACTAACAATATTGATTTGAAAGCTTTGTGCCAAAAAATTTATGGGGTTTAGTGTGAGTTTCAAAAAGTATTAGGGGTTTAGTGTCAAATGTTTAAACTTATTAAGTGTTTATTGAAATTTACTCATATTTCACTTTTTAAAGAGTGTTTATTGAAATTTACTCATATTTCACTTTTTATAGAGAGGATGGATTTTAGTGTTTACACATGAAGACAAGACGGAACCAGATTATTTTTCATATGGGAGCGCATATGCAATTATGTATGTAAATTAATAACTTATAAGATATATATTTTACCAATATAAAATTTTATTTATACAATAATTGAAAAGATTTCAACATATAATGATTTTGAATATATATCATATTGGGGACACATACATAAATTATGGGGACACCCTTATAAATTTCTATACCCAATAATAAAATAAATAAAGTTTGTGTTGGGCAAGTACCGCCACAAGTATCTACGTGGTGGATATGTCTTGAGTGAAAACCTTATATCTAAGATGGGAACTAAAATCCTAAATGGATAGGATAATCAAGTGAAAGACATCATAAATAAAGAAAATCTAGATCTATTATTATGTTAGCGGGTGGACGAATTGAACTACATAAAAAAATAGTGGAGATGGAAAAATAAATTGCTTAAATTCCCTCTTTATATTTAAAAAAGAAATTTGTGAGTTACTATCAACCTTACATCTAAAAAATTTCCATGTATTCTCCTTAATTTGAATGTGAAATTTTGGAATAAAAACTATCCACACACATATTAAGTGAGGTAGTGTTTTCCTTGTGTGCGTGTCATTGGAATAAATACAAAAAAGAGGGATATATAGGAGAAATTGACGGTTAAACCGTCTAATTTGAATTTCAACTTTTTATATAAAATTATCTACGTCCTTATTTTATATTTTCTTTATAAGAAAAAAAAACTTTAGCTCAAGTTATCTACTTTTGAAAGAGTAGCAATCCAAAGAAAATTTTTTTAGTACAATCCAATTTTTAGAAGCAAGACCATAAAAAATCATATATAGAAAAAAAAAACAAATGTACAAAGCAAAGAAACCAAACGACTCGTACGAGTACGGGCATAACACTTATTTTATTAATATTAAATTATAATTCTTATATAGTAGGGTCATATTCTATTTCATACATATAATGTAGTAAATTAATTACCACATAAATTCTAATTTGATTGGTTTTTTTTCTACAATCCCTACTAAAAAAATCCAAGGATTTTTTTTAATGTCTTTTTAAATTTAAGTTATCATTCATGGATTGAATTTATGTGGTATTATGTATTAATTAATGGGTAAATTATACTAAACCCCAATGAACTTTAAGTGTTTTGCAGTTAACCCCCAATATGTTTCAAAATCACACTTATCCCCCAAGAACTTTGAAAAATCACACTAAACCCACAATAACTTTCAAAAATTAAACTAAATTATCAATAACATTTAACCCTCATATAGTTTAAAAAACATCATAAAAAGGCATTATGACAGGTAGCTTCAGCAAAAGAGAAAAAACATTAGGGTTTGGGACCCTAACCTAGACGTGAGCAAGAGGAAAACAAAAGACAAAAAGGATTAACTTTGAAAGTAAGTTACATTCTACAAAGAAATACAATCAATCATTACTTTTATTACTCTAGGAGCTATTAGAAATAGCTTATTATGTTCGAAAGGTAATAAAACCATCTTATATAAACCTATGAAACCAACGAAATCGTGTGAGCACGAGCATAAAAATTGTGATGAGTTGAATAGGATAGACTCGAAGCTAGTAAGAAAAACCTTAATATATGTGCACTATTTTTATGCTTTTTTTGTCTAGTTAGTTTCAAGAGAAAAGAATTATTGCACTTCTTCTCCATGTTGCTACTTGGTCCCTCTTTATCTTCTTCTATTCTTAAACAGTTTAACTTTTTTTTTCAAATATAGATTCCACCAGGAATCAGACATTTTTAAAAGATATCTTTTTGAGTCATTCGTGCTTAATTTTAAGTTTACACTCTTTTTAACCTTGATATCTCAATGTTTTTCCCCCTCAAAAGAGTTTTTCCCACGAGAAACCACCTTTAAAATAGAATAATTATAAAACCACCTTTCAATTTTAATCTATACATAAACCACATTTAAAGTAGATTTTTGTTGCAATCAACTACCTCTTGGTCAAATTTTTACTAAAAACCCAAAAATATACTTAAACTATTCAAGTTCAAAGTACGTAAGTTATATCCTACCAAAACGTAAACATTAAAAAAAAGTCATGTAGATTGAATGCGGGTTTTTAAAGGGTAATTTTAGATTTTCAGTGAAATTTTTAACTAAGAGATGAGTGATTGCAACAAAATTCCATTTTAAAAGTAATTTATATATAAATTAAAATTTAAAGGTTGTTTTCATAAAATTGCCATGTTTTCAAAGTGGTTTTCAAGGGGAAAACCCTTTCTAAAAAGGCACGCTTTTTTCTAGAAAGTGTCGAAAAGTTAAAAACAATTAATTTTGATACCTCAAATGATCTATGCGACAATTAAAGGTTTTTCTAAAAATATAACTTTAATGTAGTTTTTTGGGGAAAAAATACGTTATGGTGTCAAAGTTAAAAATACTGTAAAACTTGAGATATTTAAGCTAACCTAGCTCTTTTTCCCAAACAATTTTCATTAGTGCTAAAAGTAAAATAATATAGGAAAAGGTAACACACCTTAATACATGGAGTCGGGTTTCTCAAATACAAGCAACGATGTTCGATATCAAGACAACATAACAAAATTAACATTTAGTAAATTCCTCGTGCGCATGGAAACAAACGGTTAAAAAAGTATTTTAAAAACTCTTGCCATACAACAATTACAATCTTTGAACTTTAAAGCTTTAAAAGAAAAACATACTGACAACATGCAAATGTTTATTATTAAGTGACCTCGGAAATAGAAACCAAAACAGCAGTCTACAAAAAGAACTCCACGAAACCACACCAGTTCTTCCGTATACGGTCGAAAATAGTAAAATCCAAAATAAAGCTTCAGCAATATTTACAGGTCAACAATACAAAAATAGCAAGGCATCACATTGAAGCAGCATCACAAGTTTGATGTATATTGTACCAAATAGGAATTAACTGAAAGTGCAGCTCCTCCAACAACCCCCACAGTTCTTTCATATATTGCACAAATAAGAAGTAATCCTAAATCAAGCTTTCTTAGCAATATTAAGAAGCCGCAGTAAGCATACATTAAAGGTAAATAACACAGATGTATACTGCATCAAACTTGTAATAATTTAAAGCATTCCGCAAGACAAATTTTAAAATGTTGCGTGTTCTGGAAATGCTAGCCCCAAAATAACCGGCCTAAATTGCACACTCTCACTCCTCATTAGCAGTTGGGGCAGTGTGATGAGCAGGGTATTTCCACATGATATCAGCCCACGTGCTTTGCCCGTCTATGACCTCTTTCACCACGGATGCCACCTCATTGGTGTTCACACGGATTTGGTTCTTACTGTCCCTCTCACGGATAGTCACATTTGTTGTTGAGTCAACAGTAACAGCGAAGGGAACTCCAATTTCATCCGTTCTTGCATATCGTTTTCCTATTGATGTACCTGCAGCAAAACCGGAGTTATGTTTAAAATAACATAATCAGGCTGAATCCAGGGAGAGGCCGCTAAAAAATAATACATTCGCGTCACTGCATGCTTCAAGATCCCATAACTATGCATGATACTAGTAAGAAATGGGTTCATTGACCAAATGGGAAATCAACCGTGGATTTAGAAGAGACTCGGGTTCCCTCTCATTAACAAACTAACTTTCAGGGGAAACCGAGTAAATTCCCCTTAGTATCTTTCAAATGGTATCAGAGCCAGTACGCATGAGCGAGACTGCAGAAGCATGGTGGCATGCGTAGAGTCCATTTAATGCCACATTGACTAAATGAGCAATCAATTGTAGTGGGTTTATAAGGAGATTTGTTGGCTAAATAGGCAATCAACTGTGTGTTTCTAAGAGATCTGTTGACTACATAGGGACTCAACTGCGCGTTTACAAGAGATTGGTGTTCCCTTCCGCTAACCCCAAGTTTTAGGGGTGAGTTCTTCAAAGTTGGTCATCTGGATACTCCAATACGCCAGTAGAAAAGATCGTAACAAATATAAAGCAGGATATGGGAAAGGCAAGTCAATCTTTAGGTAACAAGGCAAAACATACCTGTGATATCTATAATGTGTGAAATTCCAGCAGCTCTTAGAGACTTCGCAATTTCTTTGGCAACATCATCAAATTCTTTACTCTTTATCAGTGGAAAGACTGTACATTTGACGGGAGCCACAAGTGGAGGAAATTGGAACACATTCAGCTGCTCTTCCCCTGCTTTGCTGGGCCTGGTGTAGAAGCAGTGCTCATATAAACAGTAAATAATTCGACCAATGCCAAAGGATGGCTCGATCACAGAGGGTGTAAATACTCTTTGATGTTCCTTCTTCTTTTCCAGACTAATTGAGACCATATTTTTCTTTATACTAACAGTTTTCCCCAGAGTGCAAACATTGAACTCAACTTCACCTTCAGATTCCAAAGCAGCTTTCATCTCCAATGCTTCAGTTTCATTCATGGCCTGTTCAGATGAAAGAGAGTATATGAAAGTCTGAACTTTACGTTTAGCTAATGCTGGCCTGCAAATGAAGGCTTTTTAAGTTTAAAGTTTATGTTTAGAACCCTAAGATGAAACTTATGTCCTCTACCTCCAAAGCTTCCACCACCATCTTTTGGCTACCCTTGAATGCAAGACCCAGATCCTTCTTTGATGGGACTATAACTAGCTTCTGCGGTGAGAAATACCAGGAAAAAGTATATGAGCGGAAAAAGGAAAGATTTCACTGGCTACTGGAGAAACACCAATGTTAATCTGTTTCACATAATATGGGATTCTCGAGTAATCAGTTAGAGGTAAATTAGCCTTAAACTTCTATGCATAGGGTAACATATGAGTAAAAAACCTAAGAGAAGGGACCATATATTGGGAAAGAAACTTACCTCCACTTCTCTAGGCTCCGAAAACTTTTCCTGGGCAACAAGAGCAACACCGCTTTTTTCCTATTAATAAAATTATAGATTTATATCAAACCAGAATATTAGCAAAACAGTCAATAATAATACCATATCTGAAAACTTATTCTTCGAAACATAGGAAATATTAAATATTATCTTGAATAGGAAGTCGCGCAAGACAAGAGGTGGATAGTAGTGAGTCGGGACACAGCTACAACAGATGCATCATTGACATTTAATAAGACATAGAAGTCAATAAACAAAGGATACTGATTGTTCGTTTCTCAAGAATTCTCATGAAATAAAACATGTGGTTCAAATCAATGTGGGGCTAATATTAACCCAGTTAGATAGCTATTGGGATAAGTAAAGGAATCCAACAACTATATTGTAAGTGAACCCAGCAACTTTGTTGTTAACTCTTTATTATACGGTTGACTACATCAACCAAAAAAAAAGTCAGGTAGTATAATGATCTCAACAAGATGCAACTTTGACTAGGCTTACTGAATGTGCTTTTAGATCATAAGCAGATCTATCAGCAATCCCAACACACTCTATCCATCCATATGAGCACTCAATTTCTGCATCCCAACAATCTGCAGCATAATGAGCCATCTCATTGGGCAAATGCTGACGGAAACGCAATTTCTCTTTGTCAATTCCAAGATGAGTGAGGAAGAGGTACACTCTTCCAATGAAGTAGCCAAGAGTCTCATTGTTGACAGTTCCCTATTAATGATAACAAAATGAAATTAAAACTAAAGTTAAATGATGATACTAAAATAATATAGATGAGCCTAATACTAAAGTAAGCAGCAAGCGATGTTCAAACAACCTTTGATACTGCTTCACCCAGGACAATTTTCTTGGCTGATTGCCCAGATAGTTGCTCTTCTCTCGGAAACATCAAGAACTCCAATTCAGCAACATCAGCAAATTTTGGATGAGATTTGTCCTCTGGATCCACAAAGTGTTCAATCTCCGCAAGTGTAAATTCACGGACTCTCAGAAGGCCTTGGCGAGGTGATATCTGATATCATAGAAACTCCAGTAAAGCATGTCAGGCAAGAAAATTGAACAGAGACAAACATAAAGTATCATACAAGTACAAACAAACATGTAAGTGCACAGAAAAATCAATTTAATAAGAACAGCTTGCTCTGATTCTCTATTATTCTTACGTTCGCTAGGCACTTGATGAAGACAAATTAAAATCAGCTTTAAGATCATTCAATAATTTAATAACATATCGTTGTAGACTCCAGCCTTTACATATCCATCACCATAATCCCAGACTCGTCATTGTTTAATCATTAATAGATATGATGGCCAGCCTTTTTGCATGACGAGCCTCAATATGTTTAAATTTCGATGATGTCAAATGAAATTATTTGATGCCACATGAAACAAGTAATTCCCAAACAAATTTAAGATAATTTTCAATTGAACTTTCTAGAATAAAGATGTTCAATCACAATGATTACATAAAATTTTATTAAGCTCGTCTAAAGAAGCCCAGTGATTGCTTTACACTAAACCTTCTCATGGCATGAAGAGACAGCAAGACCCACGCTTCTAAGCAGGATTTTCTCGATAACTTTCGCTGGAATATCTACTTTCAAACTCTCTCAATTGATTCTAAGCTCGACCTGAGTTCAAAATTTTTCCACCTACTGGGGAACTGACTGAGTCAGATAGCATTGATTAGTGTAGCAGGTTTATGATGGCTCATCATCGAATATATAGAAATTATTATATGCTCGAGTTCCCTTTTTCAATTTTTACATGTCCCATCTGGAAGTAATAAGTAATAAACATCACTTCAGATGTTATACATTCTAACCTGTCTGGGTATGGCGTATTGGTATCCTCGTGATACTAATACTTCACAAGACAATATACCAGACAATAAAAGCAGGATTTTCTTTAAGAACTTTGGGTACAGCATCTGCTTTCAAACATTCAATTGATACAAATCTTGACCGAAGCTCAAAATTTCTCCACCTAATAGAAAACTGATCGAGTCAGATTGCTTCAATTAGTGTAGCAAGTTTACAATTCATTGAGTTTATAGAAATTATCCTACGCTCGAATTCAGTTTTTACATGTCCCGCGTGGAGGTGATAAATATCATCTAGGATATTGCATATTTGAGTACAACGTCCTTGCAATACTAAGACTTAACCAGATAATATACTTAAAGACCCATGAATTCCAGGTGATCCTACAGATAAAAGAGATGCTCCCTACATCCCTCTGTATCATTGTAGTTCTAGTTTATAGCACCCAGTTTTGCACACTTCCAACTTCTGTTAGTCTCTGATACCATTGGTACCTTAGAGCGAGAAAATCTCCAGGAAGTCGCCATAGTAGAATCATCCTTCCTAATAACAGTTAACTATAGATTTTTCTCATAATCCCTCTCTAACAAATGCTAGCTAATGGGAGCTCATAGGAATTAATAATATATTAGTCCCATTATCACATATCCGCACAGGACTATCTGATGTCACTTAGGGTTGCTACAAGAAAACTAACAAAATTAAACAAAACTATGTTAGGACTTAGGAGATTCAAAATGAGTTTGCAATCAGGTAATAACATCAGATATCTAAACAATAGTTCACTGATTGTGAAGGAATAGGCTGATGGCATACCCAAAGATTAGATGCAATCAGGATAATAAAGTTTCAGAAGATATATGACCCAAGTTTGATGAGCTTTTGAAAACCTACGACCTAAGTTGCATAAAAGTTGGTATGGGCCCGGTATGGGTGCGGGTACTGATACAGGACACAACAAGTTTGTGAGGTTCAGGGACAAGGCTACAAATATATACCGAAATTAGTAATTTACATGAGATCATTATTATTTTTCAATTCATGATGCTAACTTCAATTCCTATCCTATTTTTAAGTTTCTTTTATTTGTTGATTATTTTAATTGGGAACTGCTCGTTCTTTTAACTAGACACTCAAACTAACCTTTTAAATCATAGTTTTTAACTTGGATATGGGCTGAAACAACTCAACCAATGTCTACCGAGTTTCGAGAAATGGATATGATGTATAGGATATAAGCCCAAGAAGTGTATGCCAAGTATTTTAAATTAAAGCATATATCATATTATTGAGTACATGTTTGGGTAAATGTACGCATATACCCAAGGAGTGTCCATGAAGTTTGGGTACAGGAAGTGTCAAGTGCGGGTACGGCTTCATGATAGAAGTACCCAGGTAATATAGCCTACAACACACAAAGACACACACACCCATCCACCCACCCACACGCGCACACACGTGCACACACATATGCACATGTATTAAGAAATGGGTATAAGGTGGCAACTCATTTCGCTAAATGAGCTACTAAGAGATAAACTAATGATGAGGCCTATCATGCCAGTCACACATAGGAAAGTGTAGATCTCACTAACTCTATCTCTAGTTAGCTCATTTTAGTAGATGAGGGGGCAGCACACACACGCAAGGGGACAACACGCGTGCGCGAGAACACACGCACCCACATACATAATACATGCATGCATGCAACAAAAAAATACTCAAGAGATCTATTCACAAGTAGAGCTACAAGGGTCTATTCGCAACAAATACAACTATCGGGGGTCTCTTTGCGGTTGGGTGATACTACAGAGGTTTGTTCGCAATTAACCATGTTAATAAATTCTCATTATTTTGATCACATGCATTATGTGTGCGCATTTTTTTACTAGAAACACAATAATTACACTTTAAATGATAATAACATAATTAACTTTGAGGATCGGGAAATATTTGGATAAATATTTAACAACACTCTCTTTCTATCTCACATGCTTATACGAGGAATATAGGTATCATTGATAGTCACTGTTTTAAAAAACCTCCGCCTATTCCGCTTAGGCGTACGCCTAAGCCTAGGCAGTACCTAGGTCGCCTAACTAGCGCCTAGCGCCTAGGCGGTATTTAGGATGCCCACCTAGATTTTACGAGCGTTTAGGGGAGCATTGTCTGCTTACATGAATTGCAACCTATAGGCCTTGATTGTGATTTTATGTGTCGTAGCCTACACGTCCTCCAAACTCTATTAACCTTCAAATATGAACATCTTCACTACCTCCTCCGACCTTCAGCAAAACCTCATCGACCACCACTTAAATGAAGAAAGAAATCCGTCTAGACACCAGTCCGACATCTAAACTTTTTATAACATTGACATTCACTATCAACTATTATAATTAAAAATAAAAAAAGAAAACATCTTAGGCTCTAACCTTGTTAATTATTATTTTGGCTATTTAGTATCTAAGTATGCATGATTTATTATGGAACTAAGATTGCTATCTTTTTTAAAAAATTTATATGAATTTAATACATATTTTTATCAATTATTATAATTAAATAATTTAAAAATAGTCAAACGTCTAGGCGTCACCTAGGGATCTAGGCGCTCGCTCAAACACCTAGGGTCTAGCGACTTCTGTAACATTGCCGAGCTCCCCCAATCTCTGTAACTACTAACAAGGTAAAAAAATACTTCTTAAATATATATTTAAGTTAGTTAACAACAGTAACTTAAACTTAAGAAGTGTAAGTTAACAGTAAACTTAAGTTTAAGTTTGTTGATAGTAAACTTAAGTTTAAGTAAACAATATACTTAAGTTAATAATATTTTAGTTAACAGTAAACTTAAGTTTAAGTTTATTGTTAACTTAAACTTAACAGTAACTTATAAGTTAACAGTAATTTGAGTTTAAACTTAAGTTTAAGTTTAATAATATTTTAGTTGAGAATAAGTTTTTACTATTAAGATGAACTTATAATTTGAGTTGAGAAGTATAAACATACAAAGAGCTATTGTAATTGGTAAACCAAGCAATTTAGTTAACAGTATTGGTATTTTAGTATTTATGCATTTATCTTCAAGTATCACAATTAAAAAAATAAAAAGAAAAAAAAAAAACGTCCAGAAACCGCTTCGGCGCCCGCCTAGGCGACTAAGCGCTGAGCGCCAAGTCTGACGTCTAGAAGTGCCCAACGTTTAATGTAACATTTATTGATACTAAAGACTAACTTTGATCATTGGTAGTGAGGTGGTTCATTCTCATCCACTCATTTAATTAATGACCATTTTCAAGTTGGATTACTAATTAAAAGGGGACCATTTTCAAGTAGGGACCAATTGGATGAGTGGATGAGGATGAGCCGCATCATACACACACACACACGTGCATATGCACATGCACACGCGTGCACACACATATAATAATTCAAATACCTGTAGATTCTAGAATGCATCAGAATCAGCCAATCAGATATCAGAAAAAGAGAGGTATCAAATAACCATGTCTACTATTATTTCCACATTTTGTTAAAGAATCATCCTGGATATAGTAACATAATGCACCAAACATCCAAGCACTAGAAAAGTAGCATGAAAGAGTGGTGCATTCACATGTAAATGAACAAAGCAGCAACATATGTACCTACATACATAAACATGCGTCATGCATATATTAGCTAGACTAAAACTTATTCAGTTAACCAGCAAATAGTTTGGATGTCATCGAGCTCAAAAATCTCGCGGTCACACCTATAAAATTATTTAAATTGCTTCCAAAAAAATTAATCAAAGAAGAATAGAGATGAAACCTCATTTCTGAAGGCCTGTCCAATTTGTGCTGCTGCAAATGGAAGCCTGTTTCCATTGTAATAGTACAAGTCTTTGAAATTCACAAATATCCCCTGAGCTGTCTCCGGTCTCATGTACCTATGATCAAACAATTTAGTTAAGCATCACCGAAGTACAATAGTCAATAGATGAGAACTGATATGTAAATGTGTTATGTGCAACACAAAGCAACTTACCCAGGAAGCAAACCTGATGGTCCAATTGAAGTCTGGAACATAAGGTTAAATGGGTAAGGATCTGACAATGCGTTCTTGGTGTCAGGAGCAGTGATTCCATATTCCTTTAGCTTTGCACCCAATTCTTCAGGAGAGAGATCATCCAAGACTGCAACAACATGCTTCAGCTCAGCAGCCTTTTCAGATGATAAAGTGAGATCCTTCTCCAACTTTTCTTTGCAGAAGTCTTTGAGCAAATGATCAGCACGATAACAAGTTCCAGTCTTCTCATCCTTGACCATCAGATCAGTGAACTTGTCCACATGGCCAGATGCCTTCAGGACAACATCTGGAGTGACACAGGGGCAGTCAACTTCCAACATGCCCTCCTCCAAAACAAAATGCTACAAAAAGAAAACATAAGAATTATTATTCTCCTCATTCATCTATAAAACAACTACTGTAAAATGACATCTTACATTCTCTAAATGAGTATTGTTGATTTTCTTATGAGATTTGTTCTCCTTAAATTCTGCTATTTGCATGTCTGTTGTATTTGTTCCATTAATCGTTATTAATGGTTGCACTAACATCCAATGAATATTTCCATAACCTCTTTAATCTGTCAAAATATATTGTTATTTGTTTTAAAAAAATTCTTGGGATTTAGCTTAAAGCATAGAATATAATTTCTTTATGTAGGATTCATGAAAATGTTATCTCCTACTCTAGGAAGATGTAAAAGATGCAAGAGATGATTGCTTCTATGCAAGTTCACAGAGAAAATCTAAATACGGGTCAGAACTTTCTTAGTAGATCAATGGAACAAAAAAAAATCAGCAACAAGCATATGAGGTGATAACTGTCAAGTACCAATTTGTTACACTTCTAACCTATTCACTAACTTTTGGCCAATTTTCAACTTACAAATTTATAATGTCGACACTCTTCTGTGGATTCATTTGTGATGTGTGACCTCCATGTCACAATATTTATGCAATATTAATATCAATTAAACTTTATTGTTACCGGAGATTGTCTTGCTGTGCTTATGTTGATCATCTAATTTAATCCAATTAAACCAAGTGAGTGCAAATACTACTAGATTTCATGGTCTTTCAGTTTTTAAATTGATTTCTTCCATGTTCTAGAATACTGCTCAACTAGAGTTGGCTTTCAATTCCACTCAAATCTTCTATCCCATTCAACTCTATTACCTGCTGATTACTTTAAGAAACATAAATAAAAAGAACTTTTATATCAGCAATATATAGATTAATTGGGCATAGATATACGATATGAATGAATGCAGTTGACCAAGCTCCTCTTTTAGCATTTTGAGAGATTTCAGGTTACTTTAACAGAACTAATCAATTAGAGTTCCTTAAATTCAAAAAATAAAATAGAATAATCAAACGCCATAACCTGACGCCAGAACGCGAGCACATTAGACTTGACGGCGCATCCAGGTGGTCCATAATCATACAAACCCGCAACCCCACGATAGATCTTAAACGACGGCATGTAAAACAGCCCTCCTTTCGGCCGTATTCACACCGCCATCCTCAAACGCCTCCCTGTTGGACGGAACCCTCGCCGCCGTTTAGAGTTAACGCGCGCCTGGAGCCTCCTGGCGGCGGCACCATGCTCGATCTTGAGAGCGTTAAGGGCGCAACGGCGGCCTCGACCGTCAGCCGGATCGACGCCGCGACCGGGATTTGAGCGGATCTGACGGGCGGCCTGGGCCGTTGACGGCGCCTGCTATTCTCGCTAGGGTTTTGCGCAGGGCGTCGCTCGGTGGCGCGGATCCATTGGGATGGAGACGAGAGCGGAAGGCGGCGGGCATGAGGGGATTAGGGTCAGGGTTTTGGATAGAGTTAGGGTTTTGAGAGGGAGACGAGCAAGAGGAAAATGGAGGATAGACAGGAATCGCATCAAAGGAGTGGAGAGATAGAAGAAATTTTCTAAATAAACCCATTCCGAATTTTAATCTCAAATTTCAACCCTACTCAAACTTTATTATAAAAATCGACCAACTTTCTCCCCATGTTAGCATCATCATCGAAAAATGGGTCGATTTTTTTTAAACGCGATCCTAATTAGTCAGGGTTGACAACCCCGACTATTTTGAACCTCGCCGACAATTTGGCAAACTAATTAGTCGGGGTTCGAAACCCCAACTAATTTAGCACCTATTTAAATTGGTCAGGGTTGGGAACCCCGACCATTTCGAAATGCCTAATTCGAAATGGTTGGGGTTTCCAACCTCGACCATTTAGCAGAAAGTGGCCAGCCTCTAGTTAAAGAAATGGGAAATTGGCTAAGGGATAGAATAGTTGGGGTTGCCAACCCTGACTACTTGTTCTGGGTCTCACCCCCTATATAAACCAACCCAAACCCTTCTCCCCCCCAAACCCATCGTTCCCAGCCGCCTCTCTCTTCTGCAAAATCGCCGCTCTGTCATTTTGCTGCCACCGATCTCATTTTCAACCCTATTTTGCGGCCGAAATTCGTCGTGAAAGATCTCTAGGGTAATTTATCTTCCTTCTCTCCTCTTTTAACATGTATAAATCTAGGATTTTCTCTCAAAAACGAATTTCTAGGGTTTGAACTCTATTTGTAGTGGTTCAAATGATTTGTGTGTCGATTGTTGTAATTGAAATTAAACTTTTAGGGCATAAAATGCTCAATTCTAGGGTTTAGGATTTTCAATTTGGGCTTTAGGGTTTTTGGTCAAAATTATATGAGATTATTTGCATCTTGGATTTTCAATTTGTGGTTTAGGGTTGGAATTGATAATATTTTTAAATTTTTTACATTTAAATGATATAATCTTCTTTTGCATAGGTTGAACAAAATATGATTTTTATTGCTTGCCCTTATGGTGAGAAAATTAATTATGGAATGAATAATATATCAATGTACGTCGGAGGGGTAATGACGACATTAATAATCTCGGAATCATATAGTTATCATGAATTAATTAATGAATTACATCGAGTTACGAAAATTGACCCACAAGAGTACCGACTAAAAATAATATGCAATTGGCCCATAACTTTTGATAGAACGTTCACAGTTGAGATCTCAAATGATCATCATATGAGTATTATGCTTAACTTGAGCAAGTCGCAACCGACGGTAGAATTATTTATTGAAAAGTTACCATATAGTTCGTGCCAAATATTCAACCCTCCAGGAGAATTCTCACGCATGTTAAATTTAGGAGTTGAGTCTGATGGTTTTCTTTCTTCTTTGAGTGAAATAGAGCGGACTCAATTGTAATATCACAGTGGTGCACCTTCATTCGGTGGAACGTCAAACTTCATAAACAATGAAGTCCCTTATGAAAATATGACGCCATTAAGAGGGGTAACAATTGAAGAGGATGAAAGAAGCAACGCCTCTGAATGTGAAGATCAAGATAGTGCACCAATTGATAGCATGCAATTTTGTGAGTGAAGATGTTGAAGAGAATCTGAATTGGCCTGATGAGGCTTATGTTAATAATGAATATGTTGAGTATGAAGAACCACCCCTCGACGAGTTTGAAGATGATGAGTGGATTCGTTCTTTCACGGTACAAGATATGTGCATTAGCCAAAGTTTAACTCATAGAGGAGATGACGACGTCCCTTTCAGAGTTGGTGATTTATTCGAGACGAATGACCAATTGGTTGATACGATTTGTGAGTACTCAATCAAAAAGAATGTCAAATTCAAACAAGTTAAAAGCAATTGCACAAGTTATGATGCAATCTGTTTTATGAATACACAAAGGAAAGGTCGGGGCTGAGGAAAATGAAGCTGATTACGTATGTCCTTGGAAGTTATATGCATTTGCCAGAAAGAAACATAATGGGCATTTTAGGATCAAAAAATACTGTGATGTTCACACATGTAGCAATCTGATATTAGAGCAAGATCACAGTGGTGCATCTGCCTCTTACATAGCGCGATTGATTATGCCAAAATTAAAGAAGAAGCTTGAACTAACTCCCGGTAATATAATTTTGAGAGTGCTAGATACGAAGTTCATTGAAATATCGTATTGTAAAGCATGGAATACAAGGAGAATTGCGATGATAAAAGTATTTGGTGATTGTGAGTCTTACGCGATACTACCTCAATATCTTGAAGCGATCAAAAGAAGCAATCATGGATCTGAATACAAACTCATAATCAAAGAGATCAATCTGGGAGTTTATCAATTCACCTCTATCTTTTGGGTATTTGGTTCTTCGATCAAGGGATTTAAATTTTGTTGACCGGTTCTTAGCATTGATGACACACACTTATACAGTAAATATAAGGGTGTATTGTTTGTTACTACAGGAGTAGATACAAATGGTGGCTTATTTCCTTTGGCCTTCGCAGTTGTGGAGGTCGAGAATAGTGAAAATTAGGAGTGGCTTTTTTCTTGCATTCAATTATATATTTTTAATGTGTTACCTCCTAGGAAAATTACTTTTATATCTGATAGGATGAAAGGTATTTCAAAAGCATTGTACAGGAGATTTGGCTCTCATCACAATCATCGCTATTGCTTATGACATATTAGAGCTAATTTTAAAAAGAGATTTGGTCAGATACATTTACAAAACCTTCTTTGACAAGCGGGTTGTACACCTGAAACATGTGTGTATGATCGGATACAGGATCAAATCAAGGCAACATCTCAAGCTACACATGACTGGATTGAGAGTAGTTTGGGAAGTGATTACGTTGACCGGTGGGCACTAAGTAAAGATAGAGAAAATCGGTTTCGTATGATAACAACTAATTGCTCTAAAAGCTTCAACGGGGTACTTAAGGGGGCTCGAATAATGCCCATACAGGCGTTGGTTGCGAGAATATTTTATAGACTCAATCACTATATTGTCAAGCGACGAGAGGATGGAGCAAAGTGGGTGATGTTGTTGACACCAAAAAACGAAGAGATTGTTGGAGCTCATGTCAAGTAGGCGAGATCAATGAAGATGGTTAGATTTGCTGTAGATAAATGACAGATTACAGACAAACACGATCATAATTACACCATCAATTTACGAGGGACACGATGTGCATGCACTTGTAACATACCAGAATTGTAAAAATTTCCATGTTCACATGTTATAGCGGTTACGTCCAAGCAATTTGGGGGTGCAAATATTTTGTATTACACATACGCTTCTGAGTGGTATCAATCAAGCCACTATAGAGATTCATAGAAGCAATGTTTTCATCCCATTGTAGATAGTCGTTACTTACCATCCTATAACGGGCCGCATATATTACCTCCTGAATATAAGAGACAAGTCAGACGTCCGCGATCAGTACACATAAAAGGTACAATGGATGAAGGGCGGGAAGGAGCTCCAAAAAATAGGTGTGGATATTACAGACAGCCGAGTCATAATAGATCTCATTATCCTACCAATCCAAATAGATAACAATTAATGGGTAAATTTTATTTAATTTATAATTTTATTCTACTTTCTTTATAAGTCAATGCTTATTTATGAAATCTGTAATTTTATTCTACTTATAATTTAGCATATGTCATAATACTAACACATTTTATCATCATGCCGATATTTACAGTATAGAGGTGGGCTCATTGACATATGAGGTCTTTTATGACCAAGATCGACACCGATCCATGAAGATAGACTCTGGGGAGGTAAATTACATTTTTATTATTTTCAATCATATCAATTTTTCAATGTTGTTGATTGTTACTGAACATTTGCACTGTTTAATATATGCAGGCCCCAAGTATTACTATTGTTGATCATACTCATGCACATTCGAGCTGGGATTTGACGGATCCATAGATCCAGTATTATGTTCATCAAGCAGGCTTTTTTGAGTGTTCACAACTTAAATGGGTAAGACTTGATTATGCTCTCTTGACGGTATTGGTTGAACGATGGAGGCCCAAGACAAATACATTCCACCTGCGCCAAGGAGAGTCGATGATTACATTGTAGGATGTTGGGGTTTTACTTGGCCTCGGAGTGGATGGAGATGTTGTTACAGGTACCGATGACTTTAATTGGATAGAAGTGTGTGAACAATTGCTGGATCAAGCTCCTACTATGAAGGATGGTAAGATCAAGATCGAATAGTTAAGAAATAATTATATGAATGTACTGATCGATGCGATTGATGAGATCATTAAGAGCTATGCCCCCACATATATACTTCATATGATCAGTACTATTCTATTTTTGGATTCCACTAAGGATTCGGTGCATGTGAGATGGTTTTCACTTCTTAGGGATCTTGAGGAGTGTGGAGAGTTACCTGGTGGAATGCAGTGTTAGCTTATCAATATAGAGAGATGACAAAAGCGGCACCTGTGCAAAACAAATAATTCAAGGGTTGCCTCACTTTGCTGTAGATATGGTCATGGGAGTGATTGCATTTGGGAACACATAATTTGAGGGAGACCTACGTTCTCGATGGCCATATTCTGTTAGGATGCATGTATTACTAAGTTATTTTGTAATGGATATGGTTACATGTAATTTTATATGTTTATTTCAATCTATACTAACAGGTTGTATATAAAATAGATGGAATGTGTCCAGATCTTGGCAGACCTCCCCAGAGGGCCATGAAAACTTCTACAGGAACGAGCTTGATCAGATGAAGGATGAACATGTATAAAATCATAATATCTAAATATATTCAATCAATACATCATTTGTTACTGATATGTAAGGATGAACATGTATAAAATCA